TGTTACAAGTTGAAGAGTAAATCATAAAGACCCCAATAACTGAAATTACTTTCGAAGTGAAAATTATTTATTTGCCTCTATCAAATGATCTAAAAGGAAAGTCAAAGTAACAAATATAAGATTGAAAGGATTTCTCCAGAAAATTGAGCTATCGAAGGAAACAGAGTTGTAGCCCAGCTGGTGGGTGCAGGAAATGAGTTATTATTATTATTATTAAAGTTTATTTCTAAAGTGCTGTCAATGTACACAGCTGTGTACAAAGATATAATCAAAGCATAAAATAGAAATAAAAACCTACCAAAGGCGTACAATCTAAAAATGCAAAATAATAGGCAAAATAAAATAAAAGTTAATTAAAAGCAGGGAACAATTAAAACAATTAAACAGCAACATCCACTGTCAGCCCAAATAACAGAAAAAATAAATTTATATGAATGAATGTCCTAGATTAACTATTATAATAATAGGAAGGACTGCATCTAAATTGCTTTTTCATTTTCTAACCAATATCTCCTCAGCCCTCTTGCACCCACTATATATTTATATATTAAATGAACTCCAGATAGCTTGGGTATGTTTTTTTACATGCCATCTGGAAGAGGGTATTATTTCAACTAGGTTACTGATCTGTTTACTGCTTGTTAGAGCTCCCACCCAAAGTGCTCTCAATGTTAGACTTAGTTGAGAATCCACCACAATCCATACCTACCACCATCCTGGAGCCTCCTAGCCCTCTTCTTCTTTCTCATTTGCATTGTCTGTGTATCTGCCCTCCTTCAATATGCAACTAATTGAAAAGAGGATGGATAAAATACTGGATTGTCTTGTTTTGCGGTTGTACAGACTGAAGCTGGAGAGTAGGAGGAGAGTAGAACAGGAGGAGGTGGTGGGTTATTAAAGTCATTTTGCCTAAATGCACTCCAAAATGTGCCCCAAAATTGACTTGAGCCAGAGACATCATCAATACACTGCATTTATTTTAACTAGAATTTTACTGGCTCACTGGTTGCTCTATCATTGCCACTGAGTTTTTTTCCTGTTTTTTTTTT